CGTCATCCCCATCGCTCCCGACTCTTCAAGCTCTATTCTCTCGAAGGATATCCATCCGGTATGGTTCTCTGGCGTCCCTATGTCCCTTGGCAACAACCCTCTTCTCTTTCCCATTCTTCGTGCCCCGGCTGAGAGTTTCGCCGCTGAGGTGGATGGTGGATCTGCAGACGCTCTCGTCGACTCTGCTGAGAAGGGTGGCGAAGGTCTATGGGCAGGCAGCCAGTTGAGTGTGGTCACTGGTTTCCAGGCTCTCGGCGGTGCGCGCGTTACCTGGGTTGGAGGTGTTGAGCTCTTCAGCGATGAGTATGCGAAGAAGGAGGTTTCCAAGTGAGTCACTATACGTTCATTCTCGAACTTAATTAACACCTCCTAGGAGCGTCGAATCCGGAAACAAGAAGTTCGCAAGCGACATCGCCACATGGACATTCCAAGAAACCCTCGTCCTGCGCATCGACAGAACTGAGCACCACCTTGTAAACGCTACTTCGCCCAAGGAGCATTATACCACCGGCGATGAAGTCGAATTCGCTGCTTACATCTCGAAGTTCAACCCCAAGACTGGGAAATGGGATCCCTGCGCTTGCCGTAAGGATATCCAACTTGATTTCACCATGCTCGACCCGCATGTGCGCACTGCGCTTCCCCCAGTACCCGGAGCACCAGGAAAGTACGGTACTGCCTTCCGTGTACCTGATAGGCATGGTGTATTCAAGTTTGTCATTGACTACAAGCGTAAAGGGTGTGTTTATTTTCTACTCTTTGCTTTAGCCATTCTATTAACAAGTTACTTTGCAGTTGGACGCACTTGCACAGCTCCACCACTGTTCCCGTTGTACCCCCTCGTCACGATGGCTACCCTCGCTTCCTCAGTGCTGCTTGGCCGTATTACGCGGGTGCTATCAGCACTAGTGTTGCTTTCCTGCTCTTTTCTGCATTATGGCTTGCGGGTGATGTGCGCGAGATGAAGAAAAGCAAGGGAAAGTCCGAGTAGATGGTTAGACGTTTTTGCAATTGTAAAATCTTGCGCATTACGACTCGGAATGTACTACATCACTGAGATAATGTGTGAATAATACCCATTGTAAGATTACTTTTGGCTGTTGTGTATTTCTGGTGGTGGAGTTGCTGGACTCTACAATATCGGAACTTTAGGACGATGTGACAACACTATTGAGACATGAACCTGGTTTTATGAACTTAGAGATTAGAACTTAAAGAGGGTCGATATTGCAAATAGTCCGAAGTACAAGCTGTGTATCATACGAGTACTATACTAGTCCGATGAGAAGGAGAAATTGATCGTCATAAGTCCAATGAGCTAACAGTACAGATATGAGGAGTGTCCAGTGAAATATAAATGTCCGTAAGTGAGTGGATTTACCTGTTCAAAATAAGTTAATACCGCGAAATGACAGAAAACAAAACGGATGTACTCACAGTCCGCATCCAGAAGCAGGGACTTGTCTCGTGGTTACATTCACTCTTCCGAGAGCAACGGCTTGGCCGTTGGTCAAGGTGTTCATCGAGGTCAAGGCAATGTTGAATGAGGTTGGGCTGGCAACGTCAATCGCAGTAACGTTAACGCTCTTCTTAGCACCTTGGGCGTTGGTGAAGGTGAGCTCCCAGCATGTACCGCAGGCGGCAGAGTTGAAACCAGTAATCGCCGGGGCTCCTCCGATGTTAGGAAACGAGGGCAGGTCGCTGAATTTGTTGAAACCGCGATTAATGAGACCGTTCGAGCCATCGGAGCATGCAACAGTAGTCAAGGATCCTGCAGCATTATCATATACTTGGTCAAAGCTAACGGTAATTGCGTGTGCGACGAATGGAAGAGCGGCGATGGAAGTGAGGATAGCGGAGAACTTCATAGCGAAGGTCGTAAGTTAAGGTGCGATTTCGAGAGTAACCGTAGAGGAGCGTTAAACAGACTATGCAGGAAAGCGACGGATTGAAGGTTACTTGCATTTTGCTGGGTCTTTTGTACCTCTAACTGCCTTCTTTCCCGGGTAGACCATCCCGGAGAATGCATGCCGTCTAGATTCTTAGATTATTCGAAGCATAGAAAATACCCAGGAGCAGAGTATTTGGTCATTAGTGGAGTCGCACAACGGCCAGATGACACCGTAGCTATTCCAGTGATAGGTCAGGTGGTCCGCCGAAGCAGCCTGGACGGGCTAAGTAGTCGGTCAAGAAGTCGAAGAACGGTCTTAGAATGTCGAGAGGCCACATCGTGGCGGAGAAAACGGAGCAAGCCTGGATGATTCTCTCTATCAGCAGGTTGCGAGAATGTACTTCTATGACATGTGCATCGAGGTTGAAGCAGATAGCGGTGTGACTAGCCGACTTCTTTCTGACAGGAATCGGTACGGCTTCTACTCGGATCTAAAGAATTCTAGGGTAGAATAAACACGATGAGCATCCACCGAGGACGAACCCAGAGAGAATGCAGGGAGCCATGCAGTCCAGTGATAATGATCGTTAGAAGCAAATGCGGTGGGAGATAAATCAAAATCAAATCGGTCCGTTCCAAGGCCGTTGCCCCTCAAATGAAATATGCCAATACAACTGATCTTCGATCAATTGTCGAGAAGTTATCAACAAATACGAGCCTTATGTCTAATAAATAATTTGGCCGACCATGGATTTTTTCAGCCGCTTCAGTGCACAATCCAACAACTCTCTTTGATTTTCTGAACAATAGTTCTGACCCACTAAACGCGCATGGTACTTTCGAGTTAAATCCAAAGCGTTTGGGGAAAGGATGGCGTGTTGGCAACGGAACGTATGTAGGAAATCTCGTCACATTTCTAGTTTCTTCATCATGCTTCGGAAACCTTGCGACGGCGGACCATAGGTGACGCGATAAAATTAACGAAACCTCTAGTATCCGTGGTGCTACTTTTTTAAAAGCGAAGTACTAGGCGGTATGTCCGTATTTCTTCACTTAGTGCATGTCATTCCATAACATCCGATACAGTCTTGACACTTGAGTCGCTCTCATCAAGAAAAAATACAAAGCTCGTTGCCATGGAAGATGACGGAAACAAAAGAGGCCACGGCCAAAGCAATTCTACCTCTTTGGTAGTACTAACTCCCCATAAATACAACAGTGTTGCCAGGGAGTAAATCGCCGCTACTCCCCTTTCTCCTCTCCGATCATAAGAACATGTCGCTGCGACGACCTTTCAACTCCTCGATACACGCCTCTCTAACTAAATTTCGACACTTGCGATATTCCAACACAAACGGACACCTACACAGGATACCGCCATAGATGGAAGTAGATGTTTCCCTTTCCGTCATCTCTGACCCCGCAGCTTTCGCAACACCGGTCTTATGTACGAGAAAGGGGCAATGCGCTCATGGGGTTTCTTTTTCTTCTTTTTTCTGACGTTTACATCGTGGTTAGAACTCGTTTTATTCCAGACAGTCGTTTCGAATAGCATCCCCTTCAGTCGTAGTGTCTTCAAGGCGTAGGGAATGAATTATTTCCTACCTGCGTAGGATGTAGCATCAAAACCATTCTGTCCCGTGTGTCATATGGGGTCCTCTATACATATTTGATTTTCAACCAGGTAGGACTGACGGTCAGTATAAGGTTCATTTAGGGTGCAATATACTAAAAGTGTCAGTGGTACATTGGTTGACAGCTGTATACAAAAGATTTACGAATTTCAGGCATTAGCAAGCACTGGTAAATAATGATTTCAAGTAGCTAAAATGGGTCCGAATACCTTCCGATGCATGTAGAATAGCGCCGTGAATTTTTATGCTAGATAACACTGGCAATCACAAAGTATTTCTGCGAGGTGCATACTTTTTAAAGCGTCGGTCGGTAGTCAATTGGCTCACAGCTACATAGGATAAGGTGTTGAATTTGAATCGAAGCAGTTAAAACGGGTTCGACCCCCTTTGGACGTGTCCGTGACCAGTCTAGACTCTAGTGACCGTAATCTTAAGCCAGAGGACAGCCTTTCGATCCAAATCTGACTCTCTTGAGTTGTGTACTTTTCATGGCGTCGGTAGTGAATTGGTTTAGAATAAGTTTGCGGAGTCAGGATCGAAGTGGTAAAAAAGGTTTCAACACCCTTCTGACAGCATCATTTCTTGCTCCATTGTATCATCTGATTTTATGCCAGACGTGTTTCGACAACTTCAAGCAGCTAAAAACGGTTTTATTCAAATCCCTTCCGACGTCCGCGTAGTGAGTCTTGTCTATTTAATTCAATTAAGTTAGACAGTCCTCAGGGCCCACATAACATTTTCGCTAGTGGTATGCTATCCAAGGCATCGGTGGTGAATCGGTGCACAGCTGCGGGTAGTCCCAACTCACTCCATTTCCAATTGAAGCAGCTGAAAAGGGTTCGACTCCCTTCCGATGCATCTAGAACAGTGCCGTGGACTTTTACGTTAGATTGCCCTCGCAATCACATAATATTTCTGCGAGGTGCATGCTTTTCAAGGCGTCGGTAGTGAATTGGCTCACAGCTGCGTAGGATGAGGTGTTGAATTTGGCAGTTAAAACGGGTTCGACTCCCTTTGGATGCATATATCAATGGTCCAGTGACCGTATTTGATTTTTAGGTCGGGGGAAACCATTCAATACAAATCTGACTCTCTTGGGTTGTATGCGTTTCAGGCGTCAGTGGTGAATTGGTTCACAGCTACTTACAATATGTTTGCGGAGTCACAAGAAGCGGTTGAAAAGGGTTCGATGCCCTTCTGCCGCGTTCATTTCTTTCTCCATGGAATTATTTGATTTTATGCCAGACAGTCATCGTACTCTACGTAACGTACCCTAATTTCCAATATATTAAATACGGTGATGGTGAATTAATTCACGGCTATATATGGTATTTGAGTTTCGACAACATTCAAGCAGCTAAAAAGGGTACGAAATTCAAATCCTTTCCTACGTGTAGTGAGCCCTGTTTATTAACTTTAAACTAGATAGTCCTCAAAATCCACTTAATATTTCCGCTAGTTGTATGCTATCCAAGGCGTCGGTGGTGAATCGGTGCACAGCTGCGTGTAGTGCGGTCTCTCTTTATTTCGAATTGAGCAGCTGAAAAGGGTTCAACTCCCTTCCGACGCAATTATTACTGAGTCGTGTGAGATATATTTTCTCAAAGGAAAGTCCGATAGGACTTTTAATTTGAATTTCACTCCAGCTAGTTGCAGGGTACGAAATCAAGGTGTTGGCGATGAATTTCGAATTCCTTCCAACGAATAGTGGGTCCTGTCTATTTAATTTTAAGCTAGATAGTCCTCAAAATCCACATAACAATTCCGCTGATTGTATGCTATCCAAGGCGCCGGTGGTGAATTGGTGCACAGCTGCAGCTAGTATCCAATTTTACTTCGAATTGAAGCAGCTGAAAAGGGTTCGACTCCCTTCCGACGCAATAATGGAATAGTATAGAGTTATTTTTTAAAATAAAAAAAAAAAAGCTCGATAGGACTTGTAACTCGAATGACATTTCAGCTAGTTACAGGATAATCAAGGCGTTGGCGATGAATTGGTTTACGGCTTCGTTTGATATTCGACTTTACGAACCTGATCTCAAGCAGCATCTAATAGGGTTTCAACTCCTTTCCGACGCATTTGACTTATCGGGCGATTTAGGTATGTATACTAGGCTGAACCTGAAGTTAGCCTAAGATTCCACTGATACACGAGGTGTTAAAAGCATCGGCGATGAATTAGTTCACAAATGGGTATGATTAAACTGTCCTAGTAACAGAATTGATTTCAAACAGTTAAAAGGGTTGGACTCCCTTCCGACGCAATCATGCACTAGCTTATGGAATATATTTGTTGGTTTACGGCTTCGTATGATATTTGACTCTCTTCGGAAGCTGATTTCAAGTAGCATCTAATAGTAGTAAAAATAAGGGATCAACTGCTCCTGACGCATTTGATTTATCGATATTTATACTAGGCTGAACCTGAAGTCGACATAAGATTCCCTTGAGATGTGAGATGTTAAAAGCGTCGGCAGTGAGTTACTTAGTTCACAAATGGATATGATTAAACTGTCCTGGTAACAGAATTGATTTTTAAAATGGTTCGGCTCCTTTCCGACGCACTTCGGCATTACCCATTCGACTCCCTTCCGACGTACTTCGGCATTACCCATTAACTCTTTACTATGCCACTTGCAATCCGAACTTGGCTCTGTTGAGTCGTAGAGAACCCACAGCATTGGTGATCAATTCAATTACAAGTGTATTCAGTCACCACCATTTTGTGCTCAAAGGAAATAGTGGTCAAGATCCCCTCGGTGCATAAGCAAGCAATGCCACAAGCAAGTGACGCTCCGTAATTTTGGATTTGTCGTTATATGAATAAGATTTAACGCGGGTTGTTACTGAGTTTGAATGCTATTTGAATCCAATGAATACTTGCAGCTGGGGAGGTGAGTTTAAGTCGTATTTAAGAACCCATCTACAGGTGTATGTTGAACGTTGCTGAACCGGCATCACAGTTGCTGAGATGTTAGCAAAGGCAGGCGATGAGTTTCCTTCAAGAATTGGAATCCCTTCGAAGCATAGTAGATAACAATCTTATGTTGCACATATTGTGCCAAACGTTATTTGAAAGGGCAATACTTAATTTACAGCATCCCGCAGCCCCTGCCCGACGCAAGCGTAACGCGCGTCCAGAAATAACAGCAGATTAACCAAATTGATTTCGAAGTAGAGCTCCTTTAAGCAATGTGGTTAGAGATATAATACTTCCAGGTGTTCCGGGACGCGTTGGCACCGCGGGCAGTAAGTATGCATCATATCAAGTGATCAATGGCGAGGAAAGTCTGGGTGCAATCGAGAGAGATAGACGCTGGCCACGTCGAACACGTTCGTGATGACCGGCGATACAAAGTATTTACATGCGTACGATACGTTGATGGTACTTATTGATCGAGTAGACCGAGGAAGGCCGTATCCGAGAAGATTACTATATGCACTTTAGTGGGTCCGAAGTGATGCAGCTCGATTAGAGGTTGATAAGGATGGGGGTGTTATCGGGCGATCGAGAGATAAGTAGACGATATAGTGGGGCTACAGGGAGCACAAGGAGCGGGGAGGAGCGAAGGCGACGATAATGGAACGATAATGAAAAGGATCGAAAAGAAAAGAGAACTCGGAGCGGGATGAGAGCCGGTAGTTCCGGATCACGTGGATGTTATGATGAATTTTGCGGAACTTGTGTGATCGTCACTTTGACTCCGTTTCTCGTATGGTCTCGCCTCTAAGAACAGTCTGAGTACTCCGTGCTCGCTGTCTCTTACTTTGTTCGTCATTCTACAATCAACCCATGCACTCAACCCTCCTCGCCTCCCCATTATCATCCCACTCAATGCTCAGCTCATCTTCCTCGCGCTCCTCGACCTTTTCCGATCTCTCAGCCTCAGCGTCATCCTCTTCGTTCAGCACCAGCAGCACTTCCCCGCCTCAATCAACCTCAGGCGCAAAGACCCATGCTTTCTTCGCTTCCCCGTTCTCCACACGCCCTCCGAGCCCAACTCCACCCCCACCTCCACCGAAAGATAAAGGCAAGGAACCAGTGAAAAACCCTCCGACGAGTGCGCCTGCACGTTCGCTCACGGCGGATTTCTTCTCGACACCTGTAAGACCGCCTTCGCCGCCGCTTTCGAGTGTTTCGAAATCACCACCACCATCAGCGACTAGTCATGCTACTGGGACGACAAGCGGAAGGAAGATCCACCCCGCGCGGATCTTCCCATCGAGATACAAAGCATCCAGGGATCCAATCCAGGATTTAGACGATTCGATACACCACCACTCTACTACTACCATTGCATTCTCATCATCATCCCCATCGAGGACACGAAAACCCGAGTTCCTAGTCCTCGACCCCGCCACCGACACGTCGCTCTTGTCTGATGGGAACCAGCATTTCTTGTCTCCACCATCACCCTCGCACCTTCCATCGCCATGGGACGATCCCGATCGCACAAAACTGCCGCCTTCGCTCCTACTCGACACTACCAGCCCCTCCAGCATTTCAAACGCAAATCTCCGGCTCTTATCCCCCTCCCCCATATCACGCGACGCATCTACATCCTCCTCTGAATCCGCGTCTTCATCATACTCATCGACTTCTTCCGCTACTTCGATATTGCCAGATGCAGCCAGCAAGGGGCTACCCACGCCTCCACGCCCGGCGGTGGGATTGCCTCCTGCGCATGCTCCTGTAACGGTACAAAGGGATAATGTTGATGGAAACGGGAGAGAGGACGAAGCAACACCCCGACCACCCAACCTGCAGCCCTCGGCGCTGACGATGTTGTTGCGTGGCGTAGGAGATGACGCGGCTGTACAAGATGCAGATTATGGAGTGCATGGAGAAACTCAAGAAGAGGAAGACGCGCCTCCCGGACCGGGGGCTATTATTACCTCGTCTCCACCCCGTATCTTGCCCCCCTCGTCATCGTCCATTCCACCAAGCTCGCAGACGAATAACAGGGACATGGACATCCTCTCACCTACCCCCTCGCCCATGTCTCCGTCCTTCTTCGTCTCTCCTCCCCCCGACTCCTCGTATTCCTATTCATCGTCTGGCGCGTCAACGACACCGACACAGCACGAATCCGAGGACCGAACACACACGCCTACGACGCATACCCCTACACCGGATACCCCTACTTCTGGACCTATGACGCCCACCTCCCCGCCCCCCTCATCCTTCTCTTCCTCTTTCCCCTCGTCTTCTTCTTCGACGGCCCTGCGCCTCCTAAAACCCCTCGGCCAAGGAGCCTTCTCATCCGTCTGGCTCGCGGACGATCTGAGCCCCACACCGCTCGCACTAAGCAGTAGGAAGAGCGTGCGTGATCTGCGTAGGGCGGCAAGGTCTGCGGATAGTGGGAGTGGGGGAGCGGGGAGTAAACCCGTGTCGAGGAATGGGAGCGTCAAAGTGAAGCGGAGTGGGAGTGGGCGTGATAAGGAACGGGATCGCAATGAACACGAAGGAGGAGTAGGAGGAGGGAGCGGGGAAGGGCAGATGAAGCTCCCCCGCACGGGATCGGTGCACATGGGGCTATCGCTTGCTTCGATCCCGTCGTTCTCCTCGCTTTCACTGTCGTTATCGAGGAACGCGAGCTTGAAGAAGTTTAGAGAGCGCGTGCAGGGTACGCGACCTGCGTCGTCGGGGTTGGGGGGGAGGACATATTTGGATGAGAGGCATGGGGAGATGGGCGTGTTGAAGGAGATGAAGGAAAATGAGCTTTCGAGAAATAGCAGTCTAGGCCATAACGTCCAGCCACCTCCTCACGAGTCAAATCAGATTCAATCACCCAGTTCCACATCCAGTACACTGTCCATCTCCCCGCCGTCTTCGTCTAATGCTTCGATGCGCAGCCCGTTTGGGAGTCTGAAGAGGAAGCAGCGCGGTGAGGGAGGGAGAGGGAGACTGGTGGCTGTTAAGATGACGCCGCGGAGGGTTGAGTTGTGGGGTGGAGGAGGGGCAAGGGCAGAGAGAGAACGACGGGAGGAGGAAGAGCGCACGAGGGTGGGATTCGTTAGGGAGGTTGAGGTACTACGGGTGAGATTGTTTTCCATTTTTTCACTTTATCTGTTGCGGGGTTTTGTGTTTTGCTTTCTGGATCTGCATTGTGCTTTTTATTTTGGTGGTTGTGTGCTTCAAGTGTTGACGTGGATGTGCGATGCGAGTTGGTGTGATTGCTAGCAATCGTGGAGGCGTGAGGTGGAGGAAAAGAAGGAAGCGAAGGAACGTGGCCTGCTTTGCCTATCAGATGTATATGCTAGACGGGCGGGCAAAGAGACAAGAAATCGAGCGGCATGCTGCACCTGCATCTTTATTATCGATGGATGGTGGACAGACAGACGGACAGAGGATAGATGGCAGCAGACAAGCGCTCACCGCTCATGTCCTCTTCCGTCATGCTACCGTTTTCTGGCGTTTCTGGTGTTCTTTACTTTTTCGGAAGCGAGAGCCCGGACGAGGCTTGTTTGTGTGTAGGGTCCTCCATACGAGCCTCGAGGTGGGATAGCAGCTTCTTCCTTTATACGGTTCCATGAAATTTGGGTGCTGCTTGGGCCTTGGAAAGGAAT